CCCCCCAGTCTGGCCCCACCTGCGCGGATCCGCCCACGCCCGCGAATTTCCCGCGGGACGGATGTGGCGGCCCACGCTCGCACCTGCCCCTCTCTTGCTGTTTTTTTTCGGCTCTCGGTGCGCCACCTGGCCTGATTCGGAAACACTGATCATCCAACACACATCTCGGCATATCCTGAGGAGGCGAATTCGACTTCCGCCAGCTTCCGCGACCTGCCGCCGGAGGGGTCGGCCTCGTCTCGCTTCCGCCGCCTTCCGCCAGCTCTCCGCCAAGGAAGAGCCAGCCTGGCGAATAACCCAACCCCTTGTAGACATGTGGCGACTACGCACAAGACCGTTGAAAGCACGAGAACAAACTGAGGGATGTGCAGAACTCCTGAACGCTTCGCCGAGCAAAAGACGTCAGATCGCACTCAAAGTGCCCCATTCGCGCTTGCACCCTTGCGGCTCAACTCGCAACCAGGAAGGACCACGAAGAGTGCGAGGAGTGTGCCGCAACGGGGCGGGGCGGCGCACTGCGAACGCAACCCTGGCGCGGCCGGCTGAGCTCCCCACGGTCACGAGGCGCTCGAGGGGACGGCCGCCACGGGGCAAGGCGCCATGCGGCCGCAGCCACTGCGGCCTCCGACGAAGCTCCCCAAAGGGCCACGAAGCGTGCGAGGGGTCTGCCGAACTGGGGCGGGCCACCATGTGAACCCAGCCACCGAGGGCCGTCGGTGGAGCGCCCTGTGAGGCTAGGAAAACGCCGGAGGTGTGTGCCGAGCTGGAGCGGCTGCCAGCCACCAGGGCCTTCGGTGAAGCTCCCACTGGCTCCACAAAACGCGCGAAAGGTGTGCCAGAATGGGGCTGGTCACCGTGTGAACCAAGCCACTGGGGCCGTCGGAGGGGCTCCATGTGGGAAACGTTCGAGGGTGCGCCGGAATGAGGAGTGACACCATGTGAGCCCAGCCACTGGGGCCTTCGGTGGGGCTCCCTGTGGGGGCACGAAACTTGTGAGGAGTGTGCCGACATGGGGCGGGTAACCAGCGAACCCTGCCACTGGGGCCGTCGGTGGAGCTCCCTGTGGGGCACGAAACGTGTGAGAGGTGTGCCGACATTGTGCGGGTCACCATGCAAACCCTCCCACTGGGGCCTTCGGTTGAGACACCAAGGGAGCCACGAAACGCGTGAGAAGGCGCTGGATGTGGGCGAGTAACCATGCGTGTATCCTGCCTCTGGGGCCTTCGGCGGGGCTGTCTATAAGGGTACGAAACTTGTGAGGGGTCTGCCAAAACGGGGCGGGTAACCATGCGAAACCTACCACTGGGGCCTTCGGAGGAGCTCCCTATGGGGGCCAAAAGCATGTGAGAGGTCTACCCAATCGGCAGGGTATCCATGCGAACCCTGCCACTGGGGCCTTTGGTCGAGCTTCCTATGGGGGCACGAAACGTGTGAGCGGAGTGCCGACATGGGGCGGGTGACCATGCAAACTCTGCCACTGGGACTGTCGGCGGAGCTCCCTCTGGGGGCACGAAACGTGGGAAAAGTGTGGCGACATCGAGCGGGACACCATGCAGTTCCTGCCTCCAGGGCCGTTGGCGGAGCTCCCTCTGGGGCACGGAACGTGTGAGGGTCGTGCCGAAATGGGACGAGTCACCATGCGGCCGCAGCCACAGGGTCCTTCGATGGAGCTCCCTACGGAGCCACGAAACGCGTAATGGGAGTGCCGAAAGGCCTTCAGTGAAGCTCTGTATTGTGCCACGAAACTTGTGAGGGGTGTGCCGAAATCAGGCGGGTCACCATGCCGTCGGTGGAGACCCATTTGAAGGCACGAGGCGTGTGAGGTGTGCCGAAACGGACATGTGGAAGGCAGGGCAATAAGAGGATGAGGAGGGGGAGGGAAGAGAAAGGAACGAATGAGGGTACGCGCGGCCAAAGCGAGGACCCAACTCCCAGGATGGCTGGGGCAACTCCTTCGATCCCTCGAGGGCGCATCTCTTCCTGGAGCGCCCAACCTTGAGGGCAGGCGGCCCCGACATCGGCCAGGGCTAATGACTGAGTGCGCCAAATGGCACACTCACGTTGGAATGTGGTCTCGCACATATATATATAATATATATATATATGTGTGAATATTAAACACATATGTGTGTGTATGAATACGTGCTCGTTACTCTACTCTGGCGCTGTGCAAACCGTATACACCGTCGCCAATCGGGCAGGTGGTAATGGGGGGGACGGGTGAAGAAAGTGGCCCTAAAGGGGCCCTTTTCTTCCCCCCATTTGGGTCCCCCCCCATTGCCGACCGCCCGACAGAGCCAACTGGAAATGCCATGATCACACATCCACGCTGGGGTGTGTGGCATGTATGCGGTGCAAAGCTTCCGCTCTGCAGCACAACATGTCCGCCACCGCAACGCGAGACACTGAGCGGAGTGTCCCGAGATCCCGTCGAGAAAACTCACCGTCAGTGGCTCACCATGCAGGTATCATGCTTCCCTTAAGTCGGGCATGCCCCCCTGCAGGAGGAAATTCAAAAAGAGTCAAACAAACAAGTGTGGAGACGATTGTGGGACAAGGTGTGTTCTGACTATGTTTGGGAGTATGTTTGTCCATTTTGGATTTCTCCTTCTAAAAGCTGCCTGTAGGAGGCCATGCCTGACCTGATGCTGTCCCGCCCTGTCGACTGGCCGACCGCGGCTCCGGTCGTCGGCGTAGGTTCGTTCGCCCCCGAGCCACTGCGGGGCAGCCTCGCGTATAGTGCCGAGAACAGGTGCGTTCGTTCCACCTACTGGGTGCCTCCATTGTCGTTGCGCTGTCTGTGGCTGGGCGAGACAATTCCGCCCACGTCTCTCCTTAGGGCAACAAGCAATGACGTAAATTTAAAAACTCGGAGGTCCGAGCGGATTTCTCGGGTCGGCGCTGGGGTCCCCTGGCAGCGCCTCCGGCGCCGCCCCTGGCGCGCTCCGCGCGCAAGGGAGGGGGGTCCAGCGCCGATCCGAGAAATCCGCGCGGACCCCTGAGTTGTTATGTTCATGTCATTGTTCGTTCCCCTATTTTCTGAATTTCCCCTAGGACTACTTCAACACAGACACCAAGAGTAACAGAGGGCCATTTCTGCCTTCCGAGGTTTGGGAGCCCAGGGGACTGCTGGTTGTGGCCTCGGTGCTTGCGCACAAGCTCCCTCCTCGCTCCCCTCTGCCTGTCTTTCCCGTCCTCTCCGTCGACCCGATGATGGGCGCGCCGATCGGCCAGCGACGACTGCTACATACATGATTGCCTGCTCGCCCCCCCAAATCATCTCCTCCTCGCCCCGTGCAGCGCAGCAACCGCCCCCACACTCCCGCCCTCCGATTGAGGAAGAGCGGCGACGCCAGGTTCAGAGCCTGTGCGGTGCCTGGGGGCGGGGTCTGCCATTCGCATCCCCTTCCCTCCCTTCCTCCTCCATGCGCATCCCTTGCGACCTCACGCCGCCTCCTCTTTCCTCCTGGCCTCCCCCGGGGCTCCCCCGTCCCCTGGTTGCTCCTCCTCTGCCTCCTCCCCACGATGCTCCTGCTCCTCCACCTGCTGTCCTCACCGTGCTCTTCCTCCCTGCGATGCCACTCTATCCCTCCCTCCCTCGCTCCCTCACCACCTCCGTGCTCCCCCCCTCCCGTGATCACGCACACACTCACACACAACTGCACGCACGCACACACACAAACACACGCAAACACACGCAAACACACACTCAAACACACACAGACACAGACACAGACACAGACATAGACGCAGACATTGACACCGACACCGACACCGACACCGACACCGACACAGGAACAGGCACAGGCACAGGCACAGACACTCACATACCACCACCCCGCACACACACACACACACATCCACATCTGTAGCCATTTTGGCTAAGGGCCTGCCTTGGTGCCAGTGCGGGCAAGGTGCGCGCCGTGACGCTCTCCTGCTGCTGCACCTGCGGAGAGCGGCTCGGTCCCCCTCCCCGACCTCCGCGGCACCGGCGACAGTGCCGACGCAGCGCGGCCAGGGGTCCGCCGCCGCCGCTGCGGCCGCGGCCTGGTCCGCAGCGGCCGCAGCGGCCGCGGCTCGCGGCCGCAGCGGCGGGCCGCAGCTCGCCGTGCCGCAGCGGCCGCGGCTCGCGCCGCGGGCTGAGGCCGCGCTGCGCTGCGCCGCTTCGCTGGCGGCAGCCGGCGCCTGCCATGGCGGCCGCCGGCCGGCCTGTGGGTCGCTCAGGCGGGCAGCTCGGGCCCGGGGCCGCCGCCCCGGCGGCAGTGGCTGCCCGCTGTCGAGGCGGAGCTCTCGCCGTGCAGGAGGCCGCTGCGTGCCCGTGGTGGGCCGAATGGCCCCACAGCGGCGGGCCACGGCGGCGCAGCGCCTCCGCGCGCCCGCGGCCCGTGGAGGCCCGAGCCGCCACGGCAGGACGGTGGGCGAGCCCACGGCGATCGAGGCGGCCAGGAGCATGGCCGTGGCTCGCGACGGCCTCGCGGGTCTGGCAAGCCCGACGCCAACGCGGGCGCCTCGCCGCCGGTGCAGGGGGGCAGTCAGCAGGCCGCCGGAGGCGTCTCTTCTCCTCGCTCCCGCGGCGTCGTCAGCCAGGAGGCTCTGGGGACGGAGTCGGGGCCCGACCCTGCCCTTCCCCTATCTCGCGGGCGTGAGCAAGTGCCCCGAGCACTCCATCGGGGACGCGTGGGGCGCCGAGGCGGGGAGCTCCCTGGCCGTGGAGCCCGGGTCGGCGGACGCGCGAGCCTGGCCGCGGTGGTGCCTGGCGGCGCGCTTGGCCCGGAGCCCGCGGGCGCGAGCCTCGGGAGGGTCGTGCCGCAGCGGCTCCAGGCAGAGGTGGCGCTCGAGCGGGAGCTCGCGGACAGAGCCCCCGACGACGCCGACAGCCGGAGCGTGCACCTGCAGGACTCCCTGGCCACGGGGTTGGTCGAGGGCGCCCAGGGGCGGGTGCACCGATGGCGAGGCCGTGCTGCTCTCCCCCCCCCCCCCGGCGTGGCGCTCGAGGAGCGGAGGCTCGTATGGGATGCCGCGGGAAAGGAGCGCGCGCCCTCCCTCCCCGCGCACAGGAGTCAGGTGATGGCCGTCTCGGCGCAGGCAGACGTGAACCTCGAGGGCTCCCTGGCCGTGGGGATGGACGACGCGGACGTCCAGTCCGTCGCCCGCCGTGCTGACGCGGGGAGACGGCGAGGAGGGCGGCGACGCGAAGAGGTGCACGAGGGCGGCCAGGACGCCGCCCGACGCGCTGCCCTGCGTCGCGAGCCACGTGGGGAACGTGCCGGAGCAGGGCGCGGCCGAGGGAAGGAGGCCGCCACGCAGCCCAGTGGAAACGGCAATGGACGGGCCGCAGAGGCAAGGACGCAAGGGCACCCCAGACAAGGCGCGCGCACTCACCGTGCGCGCGTTGACCGTGCGCGGAGGAGCAGTGCGGCACGCTGCGCGCGCTGCCGTGTGCTGAGGTGCACGCGGACGTCCAGCCCCGCTCGCCGTGACGACGAGGGCGGGCGGCGAGGAGGGCGAGGCCATCCAGGCGGAGGCGCACGAGACGAGCGCCGAGGGGCTCCAGGCGTGCGAGTCCGCGCACGCCGACGGCTGGGTCAACTGGCTCGGTGAGCGGATCGCGCGCTCGTCTGCGCTGAAGGCGGAGGTCGTGGCAACGACGGCGGCGGACAACGGCGACCGCCTCGGGAACGCCCTCCTTGTCAGTCATCTGGCCACGCGCAGTGCGACACCCTGCTGTCGCAGGAGTCCGCCAAGGCCCAGCGGTTGGCGGAGGAGCCTGTGGTGCAGATCGCCACCCAATTACTTGCTGCTGGTGCCCGTCCTCGGTCAGTCCGAGGCATTCCCAGACGCCGCCGGCGCGAAACGTGACGTCATCGGCCCCCTCCCCCCCTCCCCCCAGATGACGGCCGTTCTCGGACCGGAATGAAAACAACAGGCTCGAGCTTGCCCAGGAGCCGCGCGCAGCTTGACGCGCAGGCTGGCGGCGATGGAGGCGCGCAGTCGCGGAGGGAATCGCGCTGAGCCCTGGCGCTCACGGCCGTGTCCCCAGACATGCGACGTCCTGGTTTTTTCAATGCGGGGTCCCTGGAAGTCCCGACCTTTTCCTCGGGACCGGATTTTGCATCCCGAGCCGTTTTCGACGGTCCCGAGGCCCGGCGAGGGCCTCCCGAGGCCGCAAACGGCCGAACACCCGACGTCCCGATTTTTGTTTACGACGCGATCGTGTCTGGGCCCGCTGCCGCTGCGCCCGATCGGCCGCGCGGGGGGCGGCGTCGCGGCGACGCGGATTGAACGGCGCTCCAACGTCCAGCGCTCCGACGGCCAGGACCTCAGGACGGCGCCGGAGGGGGGGGGCCGCCGCCCGCCGCCCTCTACGGTCAACCCGTATCATAAGTACTCCAGATTTCGTAATAAAAGGGAGGGGGTCTGGACCCTCCAAGGCAAGCCATTTCAGACCCCCCCTGTGGGAGAACCCTCAAAAACATCGTCCCCAGACCCCCCCAGGCCCTCCAAGATAGCCTGGAATGACCCCCCCCCGAAATGAGACCCCCTCCCTTTTATTACAAAATCTGGAGTATCATGAGGACGCAAGATGAGGATGCAAGGACCCTGGAAGGCCATGTCGACGCTCTTCGAGCGGGGCGCCGCCAGCGAAGGTGGCCAAGGATGGGCGGAAGGGGCAAGGACGCCAGGGTGCCCTTGGGAAGGAGGCCCACCATCGCATCATGCGGGGCAGCGGGCGGGCCGGGGCCGCAGGCGGCGGAGGCGGGGCGGAGCAGCAGCAAGGCGACGCCGCGCCAGGGAGGCGGGCGGAAACGAGCCGCGCGCGGCGGCGCCAGGCGGCCAGGGCGCCTCGACAGGGGACCGGGGGGCCAGAGGCGGGCGGCCCAGGCGGGAAAGGCCGCGGCGCGCTGGAGGAGGAGGAGGAGGAGGAGGAGGAGGAGGAGGAGGAGGAGGAGGAGGAGGAGGAGGAGGAGGAGGAGGAGGAGGGAGGAGGAGGAGAGGAGGAGGAGGAGGAGGAGGAGGAGGAGGAGGAGGAGGAGGAGGAGGAGGAGGAGGAGGAGGAGGAGGGGGGAGAGAATCCTGCAGGCCGGGCGGAGGCGGGCGGGGGCGGGCAGGCGAGAGGGGATGCCCAAACGGGCGAGGCCCGACCGGCAGACCGGAAGCGGCGGCAAGGGGCCGGCGAACCGCGAGGAGGGAGGCCGAGAGGCTGGGGGAGAGGCGCGGGCGCCGAGAGCGCGGACACCGCCCGAGGAGAGCAGCGGGCCGCGGGGGCCAGGGCTGACCCCAAGGAGGAGCCGCCCGAGGCGGCGATCGACGCCGAGAAACACCAAGCGGATCGAGCGTGGCGGGCACACACAAAAGAAGACCCAGCGGCCGCAAAGGGGCGAGGGAGGACTGCAGGCGACAGCAAGGGCGGCACGACGCCCAGGCATCCAGCAGGTCCATGGACCCTGCAGGGCGGAGCCGGAGGCGTGCAGAGCCAGAAAACCGTCGGCGAGGCCAGCGACGCGGGCTCGACACGTCAGGAGGCAACTACTGGGAGGTTTTCGTCGGAAAGATTAAGGAGGATTAAACCCCATTGGGGGGCTATTACGCCAGAGTGGGCCTCGGATCAAGCGGGATTAAGCCGGATTAAGCGGGATTAAGCGGGATTAAGCCGGATTAAACGGAATGAAGCGGGATTAAGCCGGATTAAGCGGGATTCCGGACCAGGGCTAAATCAGAATTTGACCTCCCAGGAGTTGCATCCGAAGACACGGAGGAGCAGATCGCCAAGTGGGGCCGCGTCAGGCGGGGGCAAAGGAGTGTGGCCCCCGGAGCCCGGCGGGACCAGGGCGAGGCGGGGCAGGCCGAGTGAAAGCAGCGGGAACCAAGACGGTGAAGCCGGAGCGAGGCGGCACACCTCGAGTATGGGGGTCGACGACAGAGCTGACATGCCCCACGACTGTCTTGTCCGCCGAGCATGCGACCAATGCGCAATTCGAGTGCTCCGCAGATCTGCGGGGCACTCTGCACGCATGTGCCGCAGCTTCGACGGGCAGATCCGCACTCTGGGGCGAGCCACTCCTGCAGTCGAGCCCCTGCTCGGACGCCCGTGGGAGTGCAGCGGCGAGCGGGCAGTGGCTCCAGCGGGGCGGCCCGGAGCAGCGCCGTCGTGCGCCCAGGGCGGGCTCAGCTCATCCACGCCCGGGGGCCGCAGGGGTCAGGCGCCGGACGGCCCCAAGGAACGGGGGCGGGATGACGCCCCGTCGACGCCGAGAGCGCTCGGCGGAGCAAGGCCGGGCCGCGTCGGGCGGGGCAGAGGGCCGCAGCAGGTCCGGCGGGGCCTCCCATGCCATATCGTCGACTCTTGCGAATCGACGCTCGTCGACGCGAAATCGA